AATACTCCTCTGTTTCTTTCCCTCCAAATTGACCAACACACAGCATAAGGAATACAGCTCCACACAATTCCGGCTTTTTTGTTGCCCTTTCCGCCGGAGACTCGGGGAGGAACAACTGCATGCCAAACAGATCTGAATAATAACTCCAGCACATCCCAGCCACTGAGCACAAGAAGAACAAATGAAGTATTGTTTCCTCACTTTCTTTGCACATATGGCAAATGTTTGCCATGTGAAAGCCTCTTGACTTCAGATGGTCAGTGGTAAGAACACTATCCATAGCCACCAACCATGCAAATGCCTCCACCCTAGGTGGAGCAAGACTACCCCACACACCCTTACAACTCTCTTCCCCCAGCTGGTTTTTAATCAGAACTAGATAGAATGACTTCACTGTGAACTTCCCATTCTTACACTCCTTCCACCATAATTCATCCCTTAAAGAACTAGAAACCTTTGAATCCTCCAAGACTTCTAGAAGCTTTACACATTCCTCCACCTCCCTATCCCATAAAGGTCTCCTCAACTTTGGACACCAAATCCTTGTCCCCCCTCTTCTCATAGCAATGACTGACAGAAAACATCATGGTCAACCAGCCTGTATAGTTGGGGACAAACCTCACACAACCTTCCCACTCCACACCAGTTGTCCTCCCAAAATTTAATTTTGGATCCATCCCCGACAAAGAAACAGGTGAGATCTCTGAAATCTTGGTTGAATTTCATGATACCTTTCCAGACACTCACCCCAAAAGTTGCTGAAACCTCTCTAGACTCCCACCCGAAGCCAACCACCCCATACTTACCAGCCACCACCCTCCTCCATAGAGAATCCTTCTCCTTTTCTAATCCAAATCTCCACAACCACTTACCCAGCAAAGCCCTATTAAACACTTTCAGCCTTCTAATTCCCAAACCTCCATTCTTCTTTGGTCTGCAAACCAAGTCCCAGCTCACCAAGTGAAATTTCATAGAACCTCCCACCCCTTCCCAAACTCCCCCTGCAGCCTTTCAATTTTATTAGCCACCTCAGCTGGAATTCTCAAGAGAGAAATATAATATGCTGGCAAGATAGGAGGAGTATTGGGGTGGTTTAGCCTCTAGATCTTTGTCTAGGCTCACTTCTGACCATTGGCCTATAATTATAAACAAAAGAGTGGGAAGTTAGGGGTCAGGTACTTTTAGATTTGAAAACATATGGCTTTACTCACCTGGGATCTAATCAAAATTAAGGAATGGTAGGACGAAAGCCAACCCAATCTTAAATGGAAAGGGATGAAGTTTCATTAGTTTCCCTTCCTTTTCAATTGATGAAATTATTAGGAAGTGGAGAGAAGTGGCAGACTCATCATTGGGTAAGTACATAATGTATAAAAGCTAGATACCAGCAGAAAAAAGGATACATGAAAAATAATGGACATATTATGGACTTATTTTCAGGGCCAGTTAGGTTAGAAGATTCACTAAGAGCTGAGATCATAGCTGTTCTGGTAGGTACTCAAATGGCAAGACAAATGAATGTGGACAAGTTGATTATTGAAGGTGACTCCAGCTTGGTAATGCAGTTTCAAGATAGAGCAGCAGCCACATGGGTCTATGGAAATGAAATAAAGAAATTAATAAAGATGACTAGGGGCATGGAAGTGTACATTGGGTCCAACAAGAAGCTAATTGTATGGCTGACAATCTAGATAAGCAAGGGGTGGGAAGAGAACAGATGTTTTGGGCACAATTGTAAAAGTGTAAATGTAAAGGGGAGAGATAATATTGTTGTCTCTCAAATGGGTGGTTGTATATAGTTGGGGTAAGGCTTGGATGATGATGACGATTTTTTTTTTTTTTTTTTTTGGGGGGGGGGGATATTATCTAGAACTCACCATGACTTTTTCACATTTCTCTTAAACTTTCCATGACATTTCAAAACCTCTAGAGAGTCCCCTGTCATTGAATTTTATTGTCCAAAGCTCACTTTCCATGAGGTCACCATTAGTAACCATTGATAAAAGTAGTCCACATAAGCATTTAAGTATTTTACATGACCAAAATACACCTGAATGGCCAGTCATCCTTATTAAATATTTTTTTTTATCAAAACAGAAACTTTATTAAGAATTATGAAGCTTTAGGTACAAAAAAGGGGGAGATAAAGAGTCTTATCTCCCCATCAGAAAATTACAATGAAAGAAGATTAAAATTAGCCCAAAAAATAGCCTCCCTATTCACTCCTTGCTTGGCCAACCCATCTGCAAAAGAATTAACAGTCCTTTTCACCCAGCTGTATTGTATCTCAATGCCTCTACATAGCCATAAGAATTTTTTTCTTTTCATTATTGTAACTCCACAAGCCACTGTCCTCTTTCTTCAACTAGCTAATCACCACCTTTGAATCACCTTCCAAAATCAGCCAACTGATGTTTAGTTCCCTTGCTCTTTGAACCCCTTCCAAAGCTGCAAGGATCTCAGCCGTAATAGAGTCTCCTTCTCCAATAGGGCCAGAGAACAGAGCAATAACATTCCTTTCCTCATTCCTGAAAACTCCCTCAATCCCAAAGGGCCTTGGATTCCTTATGCTACTGCCATCAAAATTCACTTTTATAAATTCGGAGGGAGGAGGAGACCACAAGGGACTAAGAGTCCTCTTACACAGAATAGAGGTTGCTATCTCTTTCCAGTTTCTTAACAGGTCGGCAATAGGAAAGTCTGAGAACAGTTCCATAGTTTTTAGCCAGTGGGCAGCCCTTAAAAGTATTAGGTCTAATAGTTCCTCCAGGGATCTTTCCTTTTCTGAAAATATTCGAGAGTTTCTTTCCTCCCATAGTGACCAACACACGACTGCCCTAATACTCCACCACATCATCTTCCCTCGCTTCTTAGGCCATCTGAAAAACGAAGGGGAGAACAAACCTTGGACACTCTCGGGAGGGTTCCAAGTACACCCAAAGCGAGAAAGTACCCACTCCCAAACAGTTTTAGTAACCTTACAAGAGACCAAAAGGTGGTAACCGGATTCCCCATCATCTTTACAGAGAGAGCATCTATTAGGAAGTAAACAAGAATTGGGTCTCTTTTTCTGAAGTA